TACCTGAGCCTGGGGGGGGGGAGGGGCAGATAGTGCCCCCCCCCCCCCCCCTATGTATCTCGAAAAGTATTGACGCTATGAAAATGAAACTTACATGGTGTGTTAAGTATCCGAAAATCTTTATTTTAGTGGCAATCACGTGTCAATTATGACGCCATACACGCCATAATGACGTCATACGTTAAAAAAATCCGCCATCTTCGATCCTAAATCTTGGATTTCTAAATTGTTCAGAAATGTCAGAACTTCTCCAAATTTGTTTTCAAAAAATCAAGAAAAATATAAATATGCTAAAACGGCAAAGATTTTGGAAAGGTTTCATCGTAAAAAGCAAAAATGTTATGAAAACTGAAAATTAAGCTAAAAAAAAAAACAAATTTGGGTAAAACGATCTGTATCTCGAAAGTTATTTGTGCTATAAAAATGAAACTTATGTGGTGTATAAAGCATTCAAACGTGTTTATTTTAGTGACAATCACGAATCAATTGTGATATCCTATCATGCCAAAATAACGTCATACTTTAAAAATGTCCGCCATCTTGGATCTGCCATCTTGGATTTTTCAATTGTTCAGAAATGTCAGAAAAGCACCAAATATGATTTGAAAACATCGAAAACAATATAAGGATGCAACAATTGCAAAGTTTTTGGAGGAAACTATTCGTAGAAAGCGGAAATCTCATGAAAACTGAAAATTAAGCTGAAAATACCAATTTGGCTAAAATGGCCTATCAAAACTTGGTTGCCATGGAAACACCAAGTCACGTGATCACAATATTGACACACCAAAATGTTCCCAGATAATTTTTAGGAAAAGTCATAAAGTTTCGCTATGATTGCTTGAATGCTCTTTATGTACGATAAATTTGAAGTCAGCGCGGGCACTTTCTGCCCCCCCCCCCCCCCCTCCAGGCAGGATAGGGTTAACGCCTTTCATATTATATGATGTCAGAAAGGTGAATTTGAATGTTTTATTTCAATTCATTTTCAATTTATATTTCTTTCAATTCACAGTTTTTGTTTTTAAATAATTCGTTTTAGATACATGTATCTTCTGTAAATATTGTGATTCTTCATAATTATGTTTGTTTTGATTGTTATTGCAAAGATCGTAATAATTGAGTTTACATGTAATGAGAAACAATCAATTAATATGCTATTTGACTGATTTTATTGAGATCGCTATTATTCATCTACTCCATTGAGACACTGCTCAGCAGAATTGTGACTGATTTAAGGTTATTTATTGATATCAATAAATAGGGTGATTTCACTTTAATCCTTCGTATATGTTTATTTTTGTTGGTCTCCTGGGCCGGTTGTTCGAAAGCTAATTAACGTCAATCCTAGATTAAAAGTCAATCGTTCTTTGTCTTTTAATCCAGGATTAGTGTTAATCGGCTTTCGAACAATCCAGCCCTGAACTAAAAATCCAGTGTAGTGTAAATGGGCTGATATGAAATTATACACAGTAATGCTAGCAAGTTCAGGAGATCATCAAGCCGTTATAAGGGTGGTCATGGTGATGTAAATCTCTTTATAATGTTATTATAACATTATTATTATTATTAAAATTATAATTATAATAATTATTTATTAATAATTATTTTATTATAATTATTAAGATGCATAAAATGCATGAAATCACCAAAAGTGGCCTAAAGTGGCCTAAAGTCGCCTAAAATCGCCCAAAGTCGCTCTGATTTGCCATTAAGTCGCATCAGAAGCTTATCACCTAGAAGCGTATAAGTTCGATTCAATGCATGGGTTTTTCCCGACAAATCAAAATTAACTTCCTTATATGGAATGGCAGATGCGGTTTAACGCGCGTGTTCGCGCGCGGGATCTTTTCCGGGAATATTTTTATTCGTCGAGGCGCGTAAAAGTGCGTACTGCGTAGTCGATTTTCGGGGAATCTTGCCTGCAATTCTGAGAATCAGCCACCTTTAATAAAGTATACACACTCATTACATATCTTTTCTAGCAAAAAAATCAAACATCAACACCACAGTTTAAAAAGCAAGTGTTTTATTGTGTACTACAACTTCATGATACGATATTTTCTAGCCACAAAATTTCGAAAAATTACGAGTGGAAAATTCGCTTGCCGCAAGACAAATTTAAAGCGACAAGCTCACTAAATACGGCTAAATAAAATACAAATCGGTAAAACGTTAATATTAGTATAGGTTAATCAACTTTTTAAAGTGTTAAAGGTGGTTTTCGGGTCTGAAGAACTGCTCTCAAAGCGCAACGGCAAATGCATGGAAAATGCAATTTCTTCCCGCGTGATCGACAACAATCTCTCAAAAACTTAGCACAAAAACATTGTACAAACGTTACCCACGAGAAAAAAAACCCACATTTTTGGATAAGGAAAGCTATCTGGTTTTTCTGAAGCGATACTGTCGATAGTTTGATCGAAATAACGGTGTTTTCTTGTTGGGAAAAGTCTTAAAGCTACTGGAAGCGGTTGTTTTGAAATTAATAACTCAGTTTGACAGCGAAAGAAAGCTTTGCGAACACAAATCCTCAGCTACAAGCTCGTGAAATAAATGAATCATCGACTTATACAATTCAGTTGTACACTAACTAGACAGGTTAAACAACCCATTTCAAGCTTAAAGAGGTTGTCGGCTCTCAAACCTTGCTCTTTATATATAAACCAAACTTGTAAACAACAATAATATTATCATCCGCGCGTTAGATCGATCTAGAACTCGTTAAAAACACAACGACACCTTTTTACAAATTCGTTTGCAGTGAAATACTCCACATTTTTAGGTAACTGAATAGCTTTCTATTTTGTTAAAGCGATACAGTCGCTACGTTGACTGTAAGTTTTAAAATTATCTTTCTCAGAAAAAATCTACAAGAGAACTTGAAAACAACCACAATTTACCTATACCGCACGCTATTTCCGTCGACAAACACGCTAATTATATAAGTAAACACCAAAACATATTTACAAAAATACTCATAATTTTCGGATAAAGGAGTAGTTTTCTTCTTTCCTCGATTGATACTGCCGTTATTTTGACTATAATAATGTCCTCTTGCTCAAAAAATCTGCAAAAAGATTTACTTGCGGTTCTTTGAAATCAACAACTGTTGACAGCGATAAAAAACATAACACAAGATCCTTACCCGGCGATGGCATTTCCTCTACTGTATCTCACATATCCCGACTAGCTGGCTAGCTCCTCAACTCGTACCACATGCGGGTCTTTTTCTTTCCGAAAATATAAAATCAAAGAAATCCTGAAGCACAGCGTATTTAGCTTATCCATCGAAAAAATTGTCACTTTGGCTATTCACAACAAGCTATTGCATGCATTTCACCGATTCAAACTCATTGAGGACAAGTCGAAATAAACCTTCAAGGTTTCTGTCAACTCACCGGGAACTCTTCCAAATAATACTTTAACACTTAGCGCTTTCCCAGCATTACAAATGTCCTAATATTTTCTTCGGGTGAAAATTTTCCTCGCGAAGCAGCCATTACAGATGTAGTTCTCGCGAGAAGCGCGAAAATCCTAGTTTCCATCTAAGGGCAAAATTGATTCAGCGATTCTGATTGGTCGGGAAAAAACCCACGCATTGTTCCAAACATATAAAGAGAAGTTACACGCTTCCAGGTGATAAGCTTCTGGTCGCATTAAATCGCCTAAAGTTACGGCGCACTTCCTGAATTAGCATTGTTAACTAGAAAAGTTCTTCCCAGAAATTATCTTCCTCGCACACATCCCCTTTTATCAACTGATAGTATTTACCATTTTATTTCAGAAAACATCAATAACAACCTCTGAAGCCTTTACGTTTTCCTGATTGAAAGACACGGTCCTCCTAAATGCCTTGGGAAATTAATAACGCAGCAAACATAACTTATGCCAACGACACTGAAAGACAACCAGCTTCGTGACAAAAGCTTCAACAATTTGCCTCAAACGTGACCCTATACTCGTTTAATCATAAAAGATACACCGTCGGAAAGAAAATAAAAGCATTTCAACTCTAAACAAAGTTGTCTTTAATATTAATTTTCAAACGCAATTCCAATAAACATGTACAATTTTCGTTTTAAGAATATTTCGCAGCTAACACAACTGCTACTGAATATGAGAAAGATATTATTCTGTCAGTGACACAAGTAGTCTGAAGTGTCAGCCGTCTCCTCGCTCTAACCCCCCCGTGGGCAGGCGAGAAGAACGTCTGAAGGCCGAGCGTTATAATGTCGTCCGGTGACGTCACGCTCTAATTTATGACAATGTTGCATTTTAAAATTTCATTGAAAACACGTTTGTATATTATACACACATCGCGGCTTGCCAGGTACAAATTCCCATACGCGATATGCCTGGATATGGTTTTATTCTCGTTCTTTCACCCGCAATCGATGAGATATAAAGCTTAGGAATCGGTCCATGGAACGCGGAGTGAAATAAGAAGGGGAAATTATGAAGACATTACACGACTTACACATGATGACGGACAAACGCTAGATCAGATGCTCTTGCAGATAAACACAGTGGACGGCCGCGGTAAGACTTAACTGAGTTATTTGGCTTGCCTTGACCTTGAAATAGTTCGACTTTGAGAAAATGTACATGTCATTCCTTTAGTGATATACATCAAGCTTGAGAAAACCGAAGAAAAAATATTTTTAACACACCGGGAAACCGGATACATCACTTCTGAGTTCGGCGTACGTGCTTATTACAATTTTCCTCGCACCACGTTCACACCTCCCGCCGGCATACTTTGACAGCTTTTGCCTTTTGTGACCAATAAGTAATGGTCATCTATATTATCGGGAACCAATTAGATAGGAAACCAATCAAAATCTACCTACCATTTCCGCAAGAGTACGTGACGTCACCGGACGACATTATAACGCTCGGCCTTCAGACGTTCTTCTCGCCTGCCCACGGGGGGGTTAGAGCGAGGAGACGGCTGACACTTCAGACTATGACACAAGCTACTCGGAAAAAATTCCGAGTTCCCCCAACAGGAGTCGAACCTATGACCTTCCGCTCACCGGTCGGACGCTCTACCACTGAGCTACAGGAGACTCGTGGGAGCTAAGGCCATATAACTAGGTTCAAATGTGACAAACATCCCGCATACTACTAGGACTAGATTTTTCGATGAATGAGAATTTGTGGAAAGAAATGATGATATATTTTAAGCTTGGTAGAAATATGAGAAAATAGTTTGGCCAAAACAATCCATGAAGCGAAAGTCCCTTTCTTGAACAATTGTGAAGTCATCAACCTAAAAATAGAACAATACAATACATTTCAGAAATTCAAAGAATTGTTACAAAAATGTTTTACACAGGAATGTTACAAAGAATGCTTCGACGCCGGCATTAATGGCTACTTGCGCAAGCGCAGTAGCCATAAAAATGAGCGTTACATTGGAAATTACAATATACTCACCACAGGATATCGTAATTTTGGACAATTTAATTGGTTCCCTACTCAAGGCATATGAGGCAATGTACCATTACTACCTTATTTGGAAATCCCGCTAATTACGATAAATATCCCATTTGTCCGCTGTTTTTTCCTTCCGTTCTTTCCCCAGTAATTTTTAATTGCAATATCCTGTGGTGAGTATATTATAAAACAATTAATCCAATGTTTGATTTATTGTTGCGTTCATTTTCAATTTAATACTTTGATAGAGATTTGAACGTCGTATTATAGTCCGGTACAAGAAGTTTACCATTAACCAAAATACTATTTAATTATAGGTTCCTGTCCGATATCCGATTGCAACATCTCCCTCGAGAGATTTTTAGCAACAATAAAAATCTCTACCGTCTGTAAGTTTTTGAATGATTTTTTTTTTTATTTCTCGCTTTAATACATGTATACACACACGATCTCTCTCTAGTTGCTAGTTAATAATAAAGTGAAGCTACTGACCCAGTTCAGTTTCTGTGTATGTATACTGGGAAACTGGGGAAGGCCACTGCTATTGTCATCAATATTTCTACTTATATTTTAGCTTGATGAAAACTACTGTCCCTAAAACCAATATTGAAGTTAAATGATTCAAAACGTGCTCTTTCTTAATTCAATATATGCATGCGGTCCATATTATTATGAAATTTATGAACCAGTTTAGCTCGTTAAGGACATAACATTGTAAAACACTGAAGTGAACTGGGTAAGACTATTTTCACCTGAAAAATCTCCTTTGGCTGTATAGCTTATCTAAAATAGTTGTTAGCTTTTGATCGTGTGCCTGAATCTTGACCAGTGCGTAATCACTTACCAATCAGAAAGCTGTTAAATATCTGAAACAACATCGCGTGAAAATTAAAGAGAAACAAGGTTCATGTGCTCAGGATTTCGAAAATAATAGTCGTTTGGTTTCGGGCCGCCTTGATTTTTTTGTAGAGCGCTTCAAAATCACCCCATTTTGACACTAGGCCGCCGCCATCTTGGAAGCTACGAATGGAATCAAGGCTATGACGTTGAATTAGTCAAGGATATGTGTGGCGTCACATGTTCGTACAACAAACAAACTCGCATTTGCGATCGACGCGAAAGAAGATTTATGTGAGAAATAATAAAGTATGGTCCTGCACTGTTCACTGTCTTGCCGTTGGCTGTTATAATACCTGCAGAAACACGAAAGGTTGGGGTAAGCTTTCTGACGATGTAAAACGTATTTTAAGAGAACGTGCATGGCGCGAGGGAAATTTACCGAAACCCTGACAGGCAACAACTGTTTTGTGTGCTCGGATTACGTAACCCTTTACCGCCGATGACTACGAGCGAGATCTTCAGGTATGTAAATATATTTATATTTTTTTTTCAATTATATTTGGCTCCTTCATGAAAAACAGTGTTCCGTAACCCTTTCATTAAGCTCCGATCGACGGCCTATCGAAACCAACAACTTTCGCATTGGCCCAGCTTGCCAACTACTGTATCAACATTACACAGCGCCGTGCCCGTGAGTCGAGATTCTATACATGTAGTATGCCCAAGCTCGGAGAATTCGTCCACTACAAAACCAAAACATTATTCAGAATCGCTTGCATTTCTGAACAAAGATCGACTTTTCTTAGAAGAATTAAATGAGATATTTCATTGAAATTCTATGAGAATTTCAGACTGCCGGGTATCTAGTTTTTTTAAACACTTCCTGGCTGCCGGGTGACACAGCGTAAACTGTAGCTGTTTTGTTTGTCAAATATAATTCTTTTATTTTCCTTTTAAAATTCGCATAGAACTTTGCAGTTATTTAAAACACCGAAGACCCTGAAATTTAGACCCCTATTCTTTCAATAAACTTTTGAATGGTTTCTAAGGTTCGAAAACTGAAAAATATAGCAACAAATTAGCGCGCGCAACACCGCATAAATACAGCGCTATTTTACCAGTTTATTAAAATGTGTCATCATGAAAAATCCCGACTTGCTTTCTATTCTGCCTTATAGGCAGTATAAATGTTGCAATCTTCACATGTCTTCAAGCATTTTACCGACGAAGCAAAGAGCTACTATTTTATGCTCTCGACTGATTGCGTGCAAAAATGTAATCTATTTGCCCTTTTCACGGTTAACTTGCGATATTTGCATAACAATACACTTGAACATAGAAGCGAGGCAATTTCGGGAACAAGCTGCAAAACATCGTGTTTTTCTTGAGCTCCTTCAACTCTTTTAGTATAAAAACAGTTTTAAAATGTAGAAGAACTACAATTCTTTTAGTTTACGTTGTTTTTAGAAAAAATGAAAAACGACTTTTCTCTATTACTGAATAACGAGTAGACTCGCATAAGCAACAGGGAGATCGGATTACGATCTTTAAGACAAACTTTAACTAAAATAGTTGCATATTTAGTTCTTCTCCGTTTTAAAATTATTTTTATGCTAACATAGTTTAAGGAGCTCAAGAAAATCACGATGTTTTACAGCTTGTGCCCGAAATTGCCTCGCTTCTATGTTTAACTGTATTGTTATGCAAATATCTCAGGTTAACCGTGAAAAGGGCTATTACACAATTGTTTATCATGTTCAAAAGTAGATTATTCCAAAAATAAAAACTTTTCAATGAAAGTAGCATGTTCGTCAATAAAAAATAATCTCGCTTGAATCAAAAAATTAAATCAGAACCTCAGTTTAGTTTCAGCGATTGTTTGCAGGCGAAACTGCTTTCGGCTGGCCTGCGAATACAGCCGCCCGGAAGGTGGCTATATTCGCAGGCTAGCAGTTTCGGCTCGACGCGAAAAGTACCAAATTATAAACCCGGGCTCGTTATATAAAGGATTCCTAATATTCTTACTAAACTCCAAAAACAACAGCATTAAAAATCAAGAACAACAACAGCATTAACAATCGACATTATATCACCTTAATTTGCATCACAACTTCTACATATTTATGGGGGAATTTTTCCAGTCGATCGCTGCGTACTTGGCGAAGGCAGACGACTGCGGTTCTGAAAAAGTCGGCTAGTAAACACACCGGTCAAAACGATTCGTGATCTGTATATTAAATGCATTTAAGCGGCGTTCCTGGAAATGGATGGAAACATTTGTCTATTTAATTAGCTTCTATTCATGTGCGTATTGTAATTGTGAACGGATATACAAACTGTTACGTGCACTTTCTACAGCTTTCTGTAAAGTTATTTCAGTCTGAATAAGCTGTTATTTTAAAAGTTTCAGATCCAGTCAGTTATCCAGAACATCCATCACCTAATAGCATATACTTTCTTGTCCCGTGGCCGGTGGTACAACTTGACAATACTGCATGTACATCACTCACGATTTCCAAGGCGCGACTGGCAATCAGCTCTTCGGATTCAGCTGTTTTCTGATTCAGTCTAAAGCAATAACAAGGTCAACGTCTTCCTCCAAGGAAGAGCCGTGTTGTGGCTCGAACATATTATGTAAAACGGGCGTATGGTTCCATCTGAATCTATCTGTAGCTCGAGAAATGTCTCGTTATCACTTTCTCTTTTCATCCAATCCGACTTCCGGTGCGCTCCTTGACTAATGCAACGTCATAGCCTCGATTCCATTCGTAGGTTCCAAGATAGTGGCGGGCTAGTGTCAAAAGGGGTGATTTACATGCCAGTAGGTACCGCGCGTCACCCAGCTCCAAATGCACTGGGAACGAGTATTATATAGCACTGATTAGCCCCGAGAATAGCGCTTCGGTTAGCCTACTATAGTACTGACAAGACCCGAGAATAGCGCCCCGGTTACCTATAGCACTGGTTAGCCCCGAGAATAGCGCCCCGGTTGGCCTACTATAGCACTGATTAGCCCCGAGAATGGTTAGCTCTTATATAATTGTAAGGATAACATATCTACTTAAAAAATTCCGAAAGCTGGTGGCCAGTCCCGGTGGTCATGTGGTCATGAGTATCGCTTCATATGCGATCGACACGGGTTCGACCCCAGCTATACACTCTTATTTCTCCTTTTTCTCTTTTTACTAAAAAAATGTCTCAAGTGTCTGGGTTACGCGCTCTCACTAAATGCATGTGGGTGATTTTGAAGCGCTCTGCAAAAAATTCAAGGCGGCCCGAAACCAAACGACTATTATTTTCGAAATCCTGAGCACATGGACTTTCATTTGAGGTAAACATTTTCTAGACCCTTGTTTCCTTTAAATTCATCAATCATTGCTGCAGACTGCTTTATTCTTTGTTTTCATCTGACGTCATCAAAATTCTAAAATCTAAACTGTTTAATCCTACAAGGCTATTCTTTTTATATCTTCTAGACATGGAAATCATTAATATCTGTGCAAAGTTTGGTATCGATCCAGTGATTCCTTTTGGAAATAAAGCTATTTCAAATTTGCGATGTCCCGGATGAACGTGTTAATGAACTGTCACAAAAAACGGATATTTTATATCATTTTAAAAATTTTAAGACGTGATAATAATTTAGAAGTGGTGTCTAAACAGATTTGAAGTGAAAGCTAATGATATTGATGGTAGAATATACTCTACTTCTTGTGCAATTTTATGGCGGCCATGTTGGTGCCCCAGAGAAGGGCACCAAGATGGCGGCTGCATACTAAACACTGTAATT